CCCCCCCCCCCCCCCCCCCCCCCCCCCCCCCCCTTGCCCCCTGGGTGTCCCGGCTCCATCTGAGATGCTTCTCGCCACCGTCGCGCTCCACCGCCTTGCCCCCGCCTCCTCCGACAAACAATCCTGATGCCCCGGCCTGCAGCCAGCCCAGCACCGAGCGGGAACTAGGAGGAGGAGGAGGAGAAGAGCGGTGAGTCCAGGCTCGGTGCTGGGCTGGCTGCAGGCCGGGGCATCAGGATTGTTTGTTGGAGGAGGCGGGGGCAAGACGGTGGAGCGCGACGGTGGCGAGAAGCATCTCAGATGGAGCCGGGACACCCAGGGAGCAGGTCGGGCGAGGCGTGGATGGGCTGGCTGCAGGCCGAGGCAGCAGGATTGTTCATCGGAGGAGGCGGGGCGCAATAAATGCGAGACGCCTGTCGGACACAGTGCCGGGGACGTTGCTTCTCGCCGCTGCTGCGGTCTTGCCTCACCAACGGTAACCGTCACTGCTGGAGAGGACTCGGCACTAGTCAGCGCTCTAGACGCACAGGAAACCCCAGAAGCTCTTCCCCGAATGCCCCACTTTCTCTCCTGTTCTAAGGGCCGCCGCCTCCCTCCTTTTTCCGCTCAGCATCCCTGGGCGCCGCCGAGAGCTGAGCTGAAGCAACTCTTCGAGGGAGGCGGCGAGTTGCGCGCCGGGTCCCATCGCTCTCCTTCTTTCCCATATACCGTTACTACTCATGCGCGCCCACGCCGCGCTCAGCACGTACGCCGGCTGCTCCCCATTTGTAGGCGCCGGCAGGCAGCCCGCAAAGGCCTGAGGCGCACGCAGGAGGGGAGGGGAGGGGGATTTTGCGCGTTGGTGCCACCTGCGAGACCTGCTCGGCGACCTCCCGACCTGACCATCCAACACCTCCCCACACCTCTCCCCACCCAGAGGGCACCAAACCGAGCATCTCCTCTTGCGAGTAGCTACCTGGGAGTCGCGCCGTACCCTCGTCCTGACTTGTAGCGGCGACGGCCGAGTCCGAGTTCCAGTTGCAGGCTCAGACGGTCAGACGGTCCCGGTGCGCGCTGCAGGCTGTGGCGGCTCCTGTACTGGGGCGATTTGACGCCTGTACCTCCTGAGCAGCGGCTGCGAGCCGGTCGGTAAACTACGTCACAGACTGCCCGCCTGAGTCAAGCTTGATCGCCGGAAGGTTGGGTCCTAGCGCCTCCCGAAGGCTCTTTCAAAGGCAGAGTCCCCACCGCACCCCATCCTACTCCTCCCCGAGTCGGAACAGGCGGACAGCGAGTTGGGGAGTCACAAGGAGAGGTGGGGTAACAAGATAGATCGGACCAAAGATTGGGAGCTGAGTCTCGGCAAGTCCAAATCCAAACCACTAGGGGTGGGGATGGAGTAATAGGCATATGCTGGGAATGGACGGAAAGTCATCCGAACAAGCAAGCGGAGATGCCCAGCATTAGGGCTGAG